GCGTCATCTGCAAACAGTATTGTTTTTGAGCCCAACACTTTCGGTAGATCTACACCAAGTTTTTATGAGTAAACGGCTGTCCTCCTCCAGTCCATTTGGTTGTTCAATCAGAAATGATGCTAAGGCACGGTATATGCAATGGGTTTTGGATCACTTATGTCGATTCCCGTTTGAAATACCTTGTTTTTAGTCATTCTTATACCACAAACCCTCCCATTTGTCAGGTTTACAATGGTGTCGTGTGATGCCATTCACCTTACGTGTTCCAATTTATTTCCTGAAACATCTAGAAATGCATTGACTTCAGGAATTCAACTGTTAGAATTTGTCCCGTCGTTCTGTTCAACTCGCTGTGCTCTTCTGGTTCTGTTTTCCACGGCTGATTTCTGAGTTTCCTACCTTCTCTGTGGGTGTTTTTGGCCTCCTCAACTCCGATCGTGTTTCCCGGACATGAGGAACCCCTGTACATTAATCGTCATTTTCTGCTGTCATATTTCCTTTTCGTGTCGTGTTCTGGGTTTTATCTATTGATCCTCTCGCTGACTACATGCATTTCAATGGTCTAACTCTAAAATAACTCATTTCTCATTTTCCCTGTTGTCACACGCATCTGCGCATCCGCCGGACTCCTCAGGGAATTGTGGTAGACGTGCCGTTTGCGAACTTTTTCCTCACCCAACTACTTGGCCGAGAGCGAGCTGGATGCTACAGTTTTCTCGACGAATTGGCCACACTTGATCGGGAATTGTACAAAAGTTTGAGTTATATCAAAGTAAGTCGTCAAATATTCGCCCATGTCTGATCGCGTGTCATGCGTGTGCTGATCGCCCAACGTATGTGTGTGTGTGCGCGCATCTCATTGCGAATCGAGCGGGTGTACATCTTATGGACACAAACACGCATTATCCCGAAATCAACGTGTGCTGACTTGGTCTATGTGTCGAAATACCCCGTCAAAATGTGCTTCTGCCTTCGCTCCACCCACGCTTTCTGTCCGTTCTATGAATACAGCCAGTAGGGGTCGAGAATATCGATATCACTTCCGTGATTGCTGTCGACGGCAGATGCGGATTCTGGTACCGTAAGCCAGGACTAAAATCAAGGAATGTACCTCGACCCCGGAAAAGTGATTTCTGAAGTATATCAAGTGCGAAATGTTCAAGGGGGTAAAATCACATACAATACAACCTTTTTTGTTTTCAACGGTCCTTAAACCAGACTGGAGCATGGTGTGTTGTTTTTATCACTTCTAAGAAGAAGCCTGTTTAATGGTACTTCTCCAACCTTCTTTTTTGAATAAGTATCCGATCTTTATTGTTTTGCAGTACTCCGTCCGATCACTCTCGTTTGGTTTGAGTTGATCGTGAACTACTTTTGTGTCCGGATACGTATTGACAAACATCGCTTCAGCTGGACATCCCACGTCAACACAAAACCATAGTTAACAGTAAGGTACTCTCACACCAGCTCGTTCAAATTTCTCGTTAATTTGTAAGTGAGTAACTGGGGAATTCTACAGATGTCTTATGTAACACACTTAAAAGCTTGTCACCCAAACCCGATGGACGATTGTGACCAGATCGAGCATTTTGCTGGTCTCGGGTTCGTCACAGTGTGAAACAGATCTGAATGTCAAATTAACCAGTGCGGGTTTTACGGCTTTCTTGTGCATGAAAAACCTTGTATCAGCTCTTGTGGGTTCTAGGTTACATCGCATTGTGACCGGTGTGAATACGTGCTGTTCCCATTCTAATTCTCAAGGTGTTCTACTATTGGATTGACCTTACCCCGGTGTAGCGCTACGAGTATAAATGGGACCTTATGAGGCCCTAATCCCCATTAAAGAACGGAGGCAACCGGACACATCAGCACACACACACACACTCACTTATTAATACTATGTTGGTCATTGCGTTTGTGCGGTCGTCCGTGCCCTTGTGTGTCCCTCTCGTCCTACTCCGATTCTTGCTGGATTGATTGGATCTCTCTCTGTCACGCGCGCGCACGCTTGTATGCAATGATAGTCCATATCGGATAGTGGTCAGCATTTTGTGAACAGTTGCGCTCACGCATCCATTCATGGGATTGAGTGAAGTACCCATAACTGGTTTGCGCCGCTTTACTACACCAGATTGGCATTTCTCATCCCCGTATATTTTCTTCTTGTGTCAGTTCGATTCCGTACACGCACTCTCTATGTGAAACAGTCCCCGAATTCGGTTCAGTGTACACTACACTATTCAATGGTCACTCGATACAGCTTAGTTTTTGTCAGAAATCCAGAGTTTTACGGTTAATTCCAACAAACCCGTCCTTTTGCCTAGCATTTCTGTTCCAATCCGTGAACAATTCTTCAGGTACCTAGCATGGGTAGATGCCCCAAAAAATAAATATGGACAACTGTCGTCTGCTTGCAGGAAGATGTGGAGAATCGGAAAGCACTTTCTTTCTTTTTTCATGATAGCCTACACTCTGACATCATCTTTATCGCTATAAGGTTTTGGGTTCCATCTCTGATATCTCTCTTCCCTCACCTTTGATGTGTTATTATTATGCTGAAAATACTGTCTCTTTTTTTTCAGAATAAACTCGGGGAGAGTGAAGCGGTTAGGTGATAATTGTGTCTTTATTATTTATTATAGTAGAATGAATTTTTCTTGTGTGTGTGTGTGTGTGTGTGAAGTGCGGGGGGAGGGCGCTGCAGCGGATCGGAAATTGTTTTGCCGGAATGCGTAATCAGACCGATCGGCTTCCAGGTCGCTGTGATGAGGAGAACCCTAAGCGGTCGTCCATTGCCGCTGTTCCGAGCAATGATCCACCCACCACCTGTGTGTTGCATGGTAACCTCTGGATGAGCAGCTCCCCTTTCCCGAAAGTTGTGTCATTATGTATATTTAATGGCTAAAAATGAAATAAAGATGTAATCTGCACATCTTGCCTACACGTTCCTGCGTTGTGGATGGCCATTTTCGTTGACACCAGTTTGATATGATACCAATCCTGTCGGTTTGTGACTGTTAGTTGTACAGTGTGGTTCGATGAAGAAGAATTCGCATTTAACTAACAGTTACTTCTGAGTACTGGTGTGGGATAATTGATATTTATTGATTTGAACGAACTACTCACAAGTAACTGTGAGTTAAATACGATTTATCAATCCAGCCTTAAGTTCGTTGGCGAATCAACCCGTATCGTGGGTCCGGAGTTCAAATCCCGGACGATATGACGGCGGATATGCACTAATAATGAGTTCTAATAAGAGAGCGAAACTCGAGTGTAAGGTTAAATCGATGAACTGAGGATTGTGCTTGAAGGTGAAGTCCGAAGGATAGTCAGTTCGAATCAATAAAAGGAGAAGAATCCAAGTTTCATAACATACGCAACAATATTGAAAATGTGATCTATTCTATCGTCTCCGCATAGTCTGTTTAGTTTCGGTTCACTGCTGCAGCCTCATTTTTTCTGATGATAAAGAATTCTAATTTTTCCTATGCGTCGTGTTTAAAGTCATAAACAATCACCTATCTTTTGTTGTTTCCGGGTTCGCGCATGATTTTCACGCTCTCCACCTCCCCGCTCCTTGTACATACGCATACACATTCTAGCATTACGATGGTGATGTGGCCGATTTGGAATTCACCTACTCGTATGCAGAAGACTGTCTAGGTCAGGTGGTAGTTCACGATTTGTGTCCCGGCGGTCGATATATCACCGTCACAAATGATCTGAAGTAAGTTCAGCATTCTCGCCGACCCCCCTCCCCCACGTATTCACCAAGGTGATAAATGCATTTCTACCTGCTGCTGCTGTGGGACAGCAATTGCTGTTCGACTTTGTTTGAGCAAATAAATGTTAAAATATGACCGATTGTCTCCGATTTGTCCTGAGAGCAAATAGATAGAAATGTGCCACAATGTCATCTCAGGGTTCCTACGGAGCTTAATTGTTGTAAATCATTTTTGGTTCACAATTCGACAAAGTTCAGGGATTTGGGATTCTGAAAATTCTGATACAATGTGTTCCCTTTTGGTCTAACTAACCCAGCCATATCCATTTTACTATTAACTAAGTTATTTGTCAGTAGTGCTGTGGGATAGTTGATACTAATTTAAACTGACCATCCTTTAGATTCAACCTTCACGCACAATCCTCAGTTCTTCCAATCAACCATAAATTCGGAAGCACTAGACTCTAGTTTCGCGCTTGTCAGAGCTCATCAGTAGTGCATATCCATCGTCCGGGCTTTGAACTCCGGACCCATCGCATGGAAGACATGTGTTACCACTACCCACCAGCTCATGCCATGTTTGAACCAAATTGTCAATTCATGTTTGTTCGGGTATCGTCTTCAGTGATAATCAGTCAGTTAATTTTGGCCCGACAGCAGTGGTATCGATTTGACTGTTCGTTCCACAAATTGGAACCAATGAGTGTTTATCTTCTTGACCCGTTTCACTTCTGTGACGGTAAATCCACAGTACAAGAAGAACACTTCAACGGACACCGGACTGAGGACATAGTTCATTAGCGTCTATGCTAATATGTTTTTTTTCTGAAGTCTCAATATTACTTTGGTATTACCTCTCAAATTTGTATCTGGTCAGAAAGATGGAATGCGTGGTACAATATCACATACCACGTTTCTTCCGAAAACTAGGTACTATTTGAAGGAGGCCAAAAACGCGATAGTGGAGAGATGCCAAAAGTATGGACAGCACGAAACTCGGCTTCTTTAGCGTCTACTCAAAAGCGTCTGCAATCATCATTCTGCTGGATAACCACGGCATGCTTCTTAGTTCCCCTAATCGACACATTCGCATCTTCACTTAATGGTAGTTATTAGTTCAATTCTTGACTGATATACTATGGAATCTTTTCACACGTGGTCAACCAGCATGCCACAAAGGTTCTCAATCGGGGTCGCAGTTTCAGTTTTTTTGTACAATCATTAACCATGCAATTTCGTGCACCGATTTTGATTACTTACTTTTGGCTACCCACTTGAATGAAACAGCGGGAGGGCAGGAAAGTTCAAGTGGAGTCGAAGAGAAAATGGAGAAATCCGGTACTCTAATTTTGCAAAGAAATTGACAAGATTCATCAGCACCACTGTATACGACACATCCATATAACAATGAAAAACAACGGATAATAAACCAGTTTTCGCCACGGTGCTTAAAAGATAAAGAATCTCATGAATTAGGTTAAGGACGCAAAGGTCAGACACCGTGAGGCGATTAGCGAACCCGTAGCTTAACCTTATTGCGAGCACGAATACACGTGAGCACGAAATACTCTGTCGTATTTGTTGGCTTCTTACAATTTATGCCAAAGTGATGAATCAATTGACAATGTAACGAAACGAATTCGAAAACACTCAATTGGAAACCATTTGGGTGGTGGTGAAGCGTTGGTTTGGTCACACCGTCATGTTGTATATCCTGTGATCTAATGTTCGAGCTCCCACCATCACCACTCAACTTCGATGGTAGACAGCTTTCCTATCGTCCGGGTCAATTACAGGCCTAACCTAGCGGAACCATTTTGTGATTCACCACTCCAAGTCCCAGTGCTTAGGTTACTGGTTTTCATCATTGAACAGCGGGTGCTCGTGACTATTCGGTCCAGCCCTGTTTGCTGTTTATTATACAGGTGTTTAATAAACACTCATGTAAGGTGCACTGGAAGTGTGTACTGCGGTCGTCTCCAAAAGTGGCATTTACGTATGGCGATTTAACAATAGATCGCCTTATATCCCCCATTGGCACGAAACACTTGACATTAGTGCCCTAGAGGTTCCAGAGTGACATTCCCTGTCCTTCGTACCTGTTTCTTATGGTTCGCTCTCCGCCCAACATTTATCATGCAATAAATAAAGTTATATTTTTAAATCAGACAAAATCCTCATGATGTTATATTCTTTGTGAATATGTTTAGTAGAAAACTTGTCGTTTGGTGTTCGTGCCTTCAGTTTCTGTCTTTATCGGGTGAAATGGATAGGAGCCTTTTACTTTGAATAGTGTTTACTTAATTCTGAATCATTTTGACATAGATCGAGAAAAACAATATAAATAAACATAGCTTCAATAGGGTTTAACCGCGATCGTCCACTGGAACCGTTGGTGGAACTCCATAGAACACTCTGGTTGGGACATATATTGCGCCACGGTGCGTGATGTTTGCTGAGTTTGGGCCTGGTTACGTCGGCATTATCAGGGTGTGCTGGGTTTCAGGCTGGTCACCTGACTCCTGTTTACTAAAAGCCGCATAAACCCAATGACGGTTTCGAGATAAAGGTCCATATTGCTGGCCTTTTAAAACTAAAGCCATTGACCCCCTCACTTCTGAGGTGACGGATTACTTCCTGCTGCCTTGCAGTTCGCACTCGGTTGTGCAAAGGCTCTCAAAACAAAACAAAAGACGCCGAGTGACGCTTGGGACGTCTCTCTCGTACCAAACCACCAAGGAACTTCATGATCATATCAGGAGGCGGCTTATCCTTTCCAACGAACCAGCCGCAGTAAAGTGACGTTAGTTGAAAAAGTTCAAGGGCGGTCAAACTGACAAACCTATTATGCAAGCATGAAAACCCCTAACCGGAACACTGGCTTACGTAAGGCCCATTAAGCTCCCTGGATGGAAGCCCTGTGTTCATGGTAACCGGTGCATTGTTAATCACTTGTGAAAGTTGCGTCTTTTTTATCTACTTTAGTAATACCATGAGGTCGGTTGTCTTTGAGCTATTCATCGTCCCATTTTTCGAATTCCTTTTTGTTTCGGGGCTTCCTCTATTGTCGGCTTGTTAAATCCAACTAACTGCTTGTTTTCACTTTTCCCCCTTAAGATGAAATTCACACATGCACACCTATTCTGCTTTGTCTCCCGCATTCAGGATCAGCTACGTGCATCGAGTTGCCCACTTCCGAATGTACAAACAGATTCGTGCCCAAACTGCCTCATTCATTCGCGGTTTCTATTCTATTCTCAATCCGGACTGGTTGGCCATGTTCTCGCCGCCTGAATTGCAAAAACTGATCTCGGGTGACAGTATCTCCGTGAATATTGATGATCTGAAGTGAGTACCCTGATATGGTTTGGTAAAACTCGGCACGATTCGCCAGTTATTGTTCAGTCTCACTCTGCACCTCCTAGCTGTCTGTGCCCCTGGCTAACTGGATCTCACACACATTTCCGTAATACTTTATTCTTTGTGATATCCCAGCGGTTGCTGGTTTCCGGTCATATATCCTTAGGGCATGCCTAACCTTGTCTACATTCTGATCAGTGAAATGCTAGTTCAGCGTGCTCCTGTCTTCTCTCTTTCGGGAATGACAATAGGTTTCCGCTGATCTGCAATGCAGGTTTGCTTTCAACCGGTCGGCCTCGCTGATTGCGTGGCAAAAAATCGCTGACAAAGCACTTGTCTTCTCTTCAAGAGGAGAATAACGTATTTGTTCAAATAGCTCTGTCTTCGGTTCTCCAAATCTGTCACTTTTAGGTTCATGCACACATTTTGACCAATTGGCGTATTTATTTATTTATTTACTTTATACGCCTGTGTGTATGTCCTCATGTATCAGGTTCCATCCCTTTGAACAGTAATCTGGTGTACACGGCAGCGCTGTATTCATGGGTGTATGTTCTCAGCAGTTAAGCGATAAGACGCAATCGAAGTCAAATTATTATTATGGGAAGTACTTACAAGCTCATGCTTCTTTTATCCCCATAGGATATTTGCACAATTGAATCGTTTCACGGCGAAAAAGTGTCACATACAGTTCCAGGTAGGAGGTGATAGAGAACGTAGGCTTCAGTGAATTTGCATTTCCTGTTAGTGGTGTTGAAATGTGAGGTGTAAAAAACTTTCATCGAGTCTCCGCTTGAAAGATTCAATAGTTGGTGCACAAACGAAATGATATGCAAGAGTGTTCCAAGTACTGCGTACTTTGAGTGCAAAAAATTAGCGCCAGCATCCCAGTTGACACTTTGGAATCAGCAACCTGAAGCGGTGTCCCCTAAGGTGTACATTGTTCGATAACACGAGCAGCTGCTGACATGGATGGTTTGGGTTCTGCGGTATTTGATACGTCAAAATTAAGTCTCCCGAATTCGGCGAAACTGACCAGAATGCAATCCCGACGATCGTAATCTCTCCTCATAGATGAGGTAATGCAATCCCTTGACCATCCTCGTGGCCATTCTTTATGGGCTCTCAAGCACTTTGCGATCACGTTGCAACCATCGGCTCCAAACTTGGATGGCGTACTCTGTGTACGGTCAAATGTACACTGATAGCAAACGCGGGAACATTGCTGATTCAGACCGACCAAAGACTCACCTAAGTAAGCCTATATTCTTCACAGCAGCGGACGAAGCCTTAGCGCAGTGGATCGAGCAGCTTAACTCCTCTTGAACAACAATACCTAAGTCCTTTTCATTTGAAGTATAGGGTAGCTGCTGATTTCCGAGGAAATACGAGAATCTGCGCCTTTGGCGTAAGGATAGGACTTTACATTTAGAAACATTGAATGAGATGTTCTAACCTCACAAATAAAGTGCTCGAAAAAAAGAATATTCAACAAACATATTTTCAGAATGCGTTGTGTCATTACGCTTTGTCTGCAAAAGGGGCACAAGTTATGTTCCATGAAAAACAGTGCACGCGGACTGCGCCTAGTGTGAAACTCGTTCGGACTTTCCCACGTCCTTCTCGTTCATTGATTTTTCCTTCCTCTTCAAGGTTTACCCTGTACTGCTTGCGTATTTTCGTTTGTTCTTACATATATATTGGCGAATACGTTTTTTTTCTCTCGTACGGTGTCAACTTCTCTCGGTTTCTTAGTTTATCTCATGGCTACCGGTCTAATATCGCCTGGTGTTTTGTACTGTGCATGAATTCATAAACTTGGCACGGTTTCTTACTAACACCGATCATGTCATTGGGACCCTTAAACAAAATCTTTGCTAAATTTCCCTTATTTTTTTTATATATGTAGCATACTATTATCCTTTTCTACCATTCAATTTCCACAGAAGAGTGATTTTGTAATAACTAAATGTTCATCCCCTATGGGGTTTATTAAAACCGCTTCTTGATTTGATTTGATTTGATATCAGTATCTTTAAAAAATCCCGAATCGATACATCAGTTTTATTACCACTCCATACAAACTCAGTATTAAACATCTCCGATTTCCATTGTAGGTTGACTGGTAGCTTAAAGTGATGCGTGCAGTTGTCCGAACCGTTCTTTTCTTTCGAACAAGCCCATTTGTAAATAATCATTATTATTGAATCTCGTACATCCGGTACTCATGGAAACACTTAACGTATCTCATGAATAGTCCCTGCGTAATAACGTTTAATTTGATACTTCTAAAAGCAAACTCTTATCACTACGCCACAATGGTTGATTCCCTTATCCCCTCAGAAATCATTCACTCGCATGTACCTCAAATGTGAAGAACTTAAGCTTTGTGTTCTGGGGCTGGGAGCTAAAGCTGTTTGATCGACTGCACCGGGACATCATTCAGAACGGAAAGGAATACCGATTTCATTAGTTGTACATTCAGCGTCATACCTCTCGAGACTTGAGACTACCGTCACGACTACGCAATTGTAAAATGCGTGAACAATGGGATGTACCGTGAATTAGTTTTGTATTTAACTCAGTTACTCGTGAGTAGTGTGTGTGGGATGATCGATCTAGATTGATTTGACTCCACCTTCACGCACAATCCTCGGTTCATCGACTCAACCATAAAGTCAGAAGCACTAGACTCGAGTTTCGCTCTTATTAGAGCTCATCAGTGGTGCATATCCACCGTCCTGTTCGGGATTTGAACTCCGGACCCATCGCATGAAGGGCGTGTGCGTTACCACTGCGCCAACCGGCTCATGCCCTGGTTGAGCCAAATTACCAATTCATTTTTGTTCGGGTGTTGTCTTCAATGATAGTCAGTCAGTTCATTTGCCCGACAGCAACGAAGGGAGATACAGGTACAACCTGTTAACTCCAATCGAAAGCCCCCACCAAGTCAGGACTTCCATGCAAGTTACGGGCCACTGACCACATACCTACAATGTTTAATTGATTTTCGTATTTAACTCCCAGTTACTTGTGAGTTTTGGTTTTTCTCTAACTCATCACCTGATCTGTTTTCTACTGATTTCTGATTCTTTTGTTTGTGTTTGTTATCGATACCTGCACCTGGACGCGACCAACAATTTGTGTTTGCCCGATTACCTGGATAGACAAAACACACGGTATTCTGGTGGATTTCACAGCAATCATCGTGTGATCAAATGGCTGTGGGATATTCTACGTCGAGATTTCTCCGATGAGGAGCGTAGCCTCTTTCTCAAGGTATGATCTGTTCCGAACTCTATGCTTCCTAACCTAGTTTTTTTGTCTCACTGTTTCCACACATAAGGTTAACTACCTAACGATGTGACAATAACCTGATATGTTGTGTTAGATCGACGTAGGAACATGGCTTCCTCCTTAGGGGTGTGTGTGTGTGTGAAAGTCTTCGTCCTGTTATTTGAAGGGCCGCAACCGTTCCAAGCTGGGCATCCGACCGACAATAAGCTGTCGTTCCATTCAAATTCCGTCTGTTTCACCGGGTTCATGTGGCTAAGCGCAGATTGTGAACCGTAAACCAACAATCACGGCACTATTGAACAAAACACCAAACCGAAACCCGGGGGCCAATAGAAGCTCCCCCATCGGCTCTCCATCACAAAATCTCTCGGATCAAATTTTTGGTCATCTGGCGCACCCTTCGAATGGCTGCGCTACACTCGTGCTTGTTCGTCGCGTTGGAATTTATCGTTTAACTCATCCATACAACGGTGCTAATCACGACCAGGATCTAAGAATATTCTCCTCAGAACATGCTACGACTAAAAATTGTGAGTTCTGTGCTACCCTCTGATTATTTGCTTGTTGAGAGTCATAAAAGCCCTTTGATCAAAAAACGCCGACGGGCCGGATGTCAGACTGCACTTACTCGCACACCTCCTGTCAAGATGACTGTGCCACCATTGGTCAGCACCAACGTTCGCTCACTATTCGCAAAGATCTCGGATNTTCCAACACATGTGTTGTTTGTGTGCAAGAAACATGGCTAAACCAAAACATCGAAGACGTTCTCGTGCGAATAGAAGGGTTTGATTGCTACCGGCAGGATAGACAGCGAAGTAGGAAAAAAACCGGAGGCGGTGTGGCTATTTACATCAATGTTTCCTGATGTGTCAAGTCAGAATTTATATTTAACTACTCCGAAAACTGCATTGGCTGTTTGTCTGTTCGTTGTCACTTTAAATTTTCTCGTCACAAAAGTACAATCATCACCAATGTGTATATATCTCCCTCGTGTAC